TGAGTGTCCGAATGCTGTGATTATGCCGTTACAAATGAGTGTCCGAATGCAGTGATTACGCCGTTACAAATGAGTGTCCGAATGCAGTAATAATGCCATTACAAATGAGTGTCCGAATGCAGTGATTACGCTGTTACAAATGAGTGTCCGAATGCTGTGATTACGCCGTTACAAATGAGTGTCCGAATGCAGTGATTACGCCGTTACAAATGAGAGTCCGAATGCAGTGATTACGCCGTTACAAATGAGTGTCCGAATGCAGTCATTACGCCGTTACAAATGAGAGTCCGAATGCAGTGATTACGCCGTTACAAATGAGTGTCCGAATGCAGTGATTACGCCGTTACAAATGAGTGTCCGAATGCAGTGATTACGCCGTTACAAATGAGTGTCCGGATGCAGTGATTACGCCGTTACAAATGAGTGTCCGAATGCAGTGATTACGCTGTTACAAATGAGTGTCCGAATGCTGTGATTATGCTGTTACAAATGAGTGTCCGAATGCTGTGATTATGCCGTTACAAATGAGTGTCCGAATGCAGTGATTACGCCGTTACAAATGAGTGTCCGAATGCAGTAATAATGCCATTACAAATGAGTGTCCGAATGCAGTGATTACGCTGTTACAAATGAGTGTCCGAATGCTGTGATTACGCCGTTACAAATGAGTGTCCGAATGCAGTGATTACGCCGTTACAAATGAGAGTCCGAATGCAGTGATTACGCCGTTACAAATGAGTGTCCGAATGCAGTGATTACGCCGTTACAAATGAGAGTCCGAATGCAGTGATTACGCCGTTACAAATGAGTGTCCGAATGCAGTGATTACGCCGTTACAAATGAGTGTCCGAATGCAGTGATTACGCCGTTACAAATGAGTGTCCGGATGCAGTGATTACGCCGTTACAAATGAGTGTCCGAATGCAGTGATTACGCCGTTACAAATGAGAGTCCGAATGCAGTGATTACGCCGTTACAAATGAGTGTCCGAATGCAGTGATTACGCCGTTACAAATGAGTGTCCGAATGCAGTGATTACGCCGTTACAAATGAGTGTCCGAATGCAGTGATTACGCTGTTACAAATGAGTGTCCGAATGCTGTGATTATGCTGTTACAAATGAGTGTCCGAATGCTGTGATTATGCCGTTACAAATGAGTGTCCGAATGCAGTGATTACGCCGTTACAAATGAGTGTCCGAATGCAGTAATAATGCCATTACAAATGAGTGTCCGAATGCAGTGATTACGCTGTTACAAATGAGTGTCCGAATGCTGTGATTACGCCGTTACAAATGAGTGTCCGAATGCAGTGATTACGCCGTTACAAATGAGTGTCCGAATACAGTGATTACGCCGTTACAAATGAGTGTCCGAATGCAGTAATAATGCCGTTACAAATGAGTGTCCGAGTGCAGTAATAATGCCATTACAAATGAGTGTCCGAATGCAGTGATTACGCTGTTACAAATGAGTGTCCGAATGCTGTGATTACGCCGTTACAAATGAGCATCCAAATGCAGTGATTACGCCGTTACAAATGAGTGTCCGAATGCAGTGATTACGCTGTTACAAATGAGTGTCCGAATGCTGTGATTATGCTGTTACAAATGAGTGTCCGAATGCTGTGATTATGCCGTTACAAATGAGTGTCCGAATGCAGTGATTACGCCGTTACAAATGAGTGTCCGAATGCAGTAATAATGCCATCACAAATGAGTGTCCGAATGCAGTGATTACGCTGTTACAAATGAGTGTCCGAATGCTGTGATTACGCCGTTACAAATGAGTGTCCGAATGCAGTGATTACGCCGTTACAAATGAGAGTCCGAATGCAGTGATTACGCCGTTACAAATGAGTGTCCGAATGCAGTGATTACGCCGTTACAAATGAGAGTCCGAATGCAGTGATTACGCCGTTACAAATGAGTGTCCGAATGCAGTGATTACGCCGTTACAAATGAGTGTCCGAATGCAGTGATTACGCCGTTACAAATGAGTGTCCGGATGCAGTGATTACGCCGTTACAAATGAGTGTCCGAATGCAGTGATTACGCTGTTACAAATGAGTGTCCGAATGCTGTGATTATGCTGTTACAAATGAGTGTCCGAATGCTGTGATTATGCCGTTACAAATGAGTGTCCGAATGCAGTGATTACGCCGTTACAAATGAGTGTCCGAATGCAGTAATAATGCCATTACAAATGAGTGTCCGAATGCAGTGATTACGCTGTTACAAATGAGTGTCCGAATGCTGTGATTACGCCGTTACAAATGAGTGTCCGAATGCAGTGATTACGCCGTTACAAATGAGAGTCCGAATGCAGTGATTACGCCGTTACAAATGAGTGTCCGAATGCAGTGATTACGCCGTTACAAATGAGAGTCCGAATGCAGTGATTACGCCGTTACAAATGAGTGTCCGAATGCAGTGATTACGCCGTTACAAATGAGTGTCCAAATGCAGTGATTACGCCGTTACAAATGAGTGTCCGGATGCAGTGATTACGCCGTTACAAATGAGTGTCCGAATGCAGTGATTACGCTGTTACAAATGAGTGTCCGAATGCTGTGATTATGCTGTTACAAATGAGTGTCCGAATGCTGTGATTATGCCGTTACAAATGAGTGTCCGAATGCAGTGATTACGCCGTTACAAATGAGTGTCCGAATGCAGTAATAATGCCATTACAAATGAGTGTCCGAATGCAGTGATTACGCTGTTACAAATGAGTGTCCGAATGCTGTGATTACGCCGTTACAAATGAGTGTCCGAATGCAGTGATTACGCCGTTACAAATGAGAGTCCGAATGCAGTGATTACGCCGTTACAAATGAGTGTCCGAATGCAGTGATTACGCCGTTACAAATGAGAGTCCGAATGCAGTGATTACGCCGTTACAAATGAGTGTCCGAATGCAGTGATTACGCCGTTACAAATGAGTGTCCGAATGCAGTGATTACGCTGTTACAAATGAGTGTCCGAATGCTGTGATTACGCCGTTACAAATGAGTGTCCGAATGCAGTGATTACGCCGTTAGAAATGAGAGTCCGAATGCAGTGATTACGCCGTTACAAATGAGTGTCCGAATGCAGTGATTACGCCGTTACAAATGAGAGTCCGAATGCAGTGATTACGCCGTTACAAATGAGTGTCCGAATGCAGTGATTACGCCGTTACAAATGAGTGTCCGGATGCAGTGATTACGCCGTTACAAATGAGTGTCCGAATGCAGTGATTACGCCGTTACAAATGAGTGTCCGAATGCAGTGATTACGCCGTTACAAATGAGTGTCCGAATGCAGTGATTACGCTGTTACAAATGAGTGTCCGAATGCTGTGATTACGCCGTTACAAATGAGCGTCCGAATGCAGTGATTACGCCGTTACAAATGAGTGTCCGAATGCAGTGATTACGCCGTTACAAATGAGTGTCCGGATGCAGTGATTACGCCGTTACAAATGAGTGTCCGAATGCAGTGATTACGCCGTTACAAATGAGTGTCCGAATGCAGTGATTACGCCGTTAGAAATGAGAGTCCGAATGCAGTGATTACGCCGTTACAAATGAGTGTCCGAATGCAGTGATTACGCCGTTACAAATGAGCGTCCGAATGCAGTGATTACGCCGTTACAAATGAGTGTCCGAATGCAGTGATTACGCCGTTACAAATGAGTGTCCGGATGCAGTGATTACGCCGTTACAAATGAGTGTCCGAATGTCTAGAGGATGAAAAAGAGGTGCACCCAAATTTTCCCATAATGCACCTTGAAAAGTCGTGATCACCCATGGTCGCTAGGCGAACAGATATCTCCTAGAATGCATTCTGGGGTACTCTATCACAGCGGCTTGCTGTCGTCTACGGCTGTCGCTACCCGACAGCAGCGATAAATGACAAAGATGGCGCAGGCACTGCGCAGTGGAGGGATTTGGGGCTTAGGGCGGACGATCAGACTCCGCCTCTATTTTATGTCCACTAGCCCTACACACTATGTGGTTTGGGACGGCCCTTAATATGGAAGACCCTCCGGGAAACGCTCAGACGGAGGATTAGGGGAAGTGTTAGGGGAGCTTTGGGATTGAGCTGTGGGTTTTCCTGCAGGCCCCACAGCATGATGCCTTCAGGGTCTTCTACAGCTGTAGGATTTCTGATGGACCAGATAATTTAAGGATCTGTCAGCAGCAGAATAGTCTCCAGGGTTTCCTGTCCTTCCCTTTCATTCACGCAGTGAGCGGTTGCCATGAATACGAAGCAGAATGAGGCCCCATAATTAACCACAGAGGGCATCCAGAGAGGACAGACCCCACAGCTCTCTCACAGCAGGGTTTCTGGTTGCCACGGTAACAACTGTTAGCTGTTCCTTTAGATGAGTTTAAACTCTGATCTTCAGGTCAGCAGACTTTCTTACAGGTGGCCTCACCTGTCCTGCTGATAATATCTGTTTCTGAGTCAGAGTGAGGCCTCCTGTCTTCTCCCACCAGCTTTGTGCTGCAGCCTATCACTGGTTCAGGACTGGAACCCCTAAGCCACCTCCGTAGAGACACCAGAACCAGAACCAGGGTCTGCTGAAAGACCAGGATCTGTTATTATCTGTTATTGTCCCATTTTAGTTCATCCTGCTGATGAGCAGAACCTCAGCGTCTTTACCTTAGAGGTTACAGAGAACACTATGACATCACAGAGGAGCTTCAATGTTCAACGGAGGAGGGAAGAGGACATATGGGGACAAAAAGGGTAGTTTAGAGGACAAATGTGGACATATGGTTATATAGAGGACATATGGGGACATATGGTTATATTATAGAGGACACATGTTTGGATCCGGGAATCTTTTCCTGGTTCCTTCTCACTGTTAAAAAGAAAAATGGCTGACCATTCACGAGGGGAAAGAAGCATTTATTTTATTGTTCAGTGGATTAAAGCGCCAATCTTTTTACTTCTTTCTGTTTTAAGGACATTTCTCTCACATTCAACAGAAAATGAAACATTTTCGTTACATTCTGATGAATTTAATGATGTTCTCTAATCAGGGAAGGTCTTCCATGCATTAAATATCCGACATTTCAAGTTAAAAAGGCTGAAATGTGAACAGAATCTAAAGTGGTTAAAATATGGATTGGTCACCAGATAAAGGACAGCAGAACCCAAACAAACCGGACCTGGACCGGTTCTGCAGAACCTTGAGGTCTGTTCTGGATCTCTGTCGGGTTCTCTGACCTTCAGATGTCCAGATGGTGGAAACCACCAACAGAATTAAAATGGAGGCAGCCGGACACAGACTCCCGGATCGGCGGCGAAACATCTTCATCTCAGTGAAGTCCAGTTTCATCCAGTTTCTGGTGTTCCTGACGCTGGACCTCCTGGTTCCGGATCACAGCCATCAGAACCAGAAGGTCCAAAACGACCTGGGTTCATAGATCTGCTCCAGCGCTGTCCTGCAGAGCGGATCGGACCGGCCGGTTCTGGTAGAGTACTGGAAGACGAAGGCTTCCATGAGGTCATGGCGGCGGCTCCTGTGCAGGAAGCAGTAGAGGACGGGGTTGAGGACGCAGTGCAGCAGCGAGCAGCACTGCGTGAGCGGCAGCGCCGCCAACAGGAAGCTCTCCAGCCGACAGCTGAAGGACAGCGCGTCCAGCAGCGCCAGGGTGTCCAGCAGCAGGACGGTGTGGAACGGCAGCCAGCACGCCGCCAACGCCACCACGTAGGACCGGATGAGGCGCCGCGTCTGATCCGAGCCCGGAGGGAGGCCCGCCGCCAGCAGGAGGTAGGAGACGGTGATAATGGGGGCGGGGACGACGAAGCCCAGCACCAGAAAGCTCACCTGGACCCCCACCATCCCGTCCCTGGGGTTCTCCGACGGGAAGACGGGTCGACACACGGCGCCGCCACGGTGGGGGGACCGCACCGCCTGCAGGAAGTAGGCTTCAGGGATGGAGGCCGCCAACGCCAGGAGCCAGAGCAACGCACAGCTCAGCCGCCGCATCAGCTTCCTGCTGCGGCCGCTGGGGGCGCCGGCGAGCAGCGTGACGGACAGGTAGGCGTCCACGCCGAGGCAGGCGAGGAAGAGGATGCTGCTGAGCAGGCCGGCGCCGAACACCAGATGGGTCGCCTTACAGAGCGCCGCCCCGAACGGCCAGAGCCCGCATTGCAGCAGAGACGCCACCCAGAAGGGCAGGGTCAGAACCACGCACAGGTCCGCCGCCGCCAGGTTCAGCAGGTACGGCCGTGACTCGGACCGGGCGCCGCCGCGCCGCAGGCTCACCCAGATCATCAGGACGTTGGAGGCCAGACCAGCCAGGAAGATGAAGATGTAGAAGACTGACAGAACGTGGAGGAGAGCGGCGTGTCCGACGGCACCCGAACACACCACCAGCTCCACCTGAGACTGGTTGGAGGTCTGGTTAAGCTCCTCCCACAGAACCAGCAGCTCAGAGAGGTCAGTGCCGCCCAGACTCATGATGTCCAGCTGCAAGACAGGAGAGACGGGTCAGAACCAGAACTGAACCAGAACCTGGTTCTGGTTCTGGTTCAGTTCTGATCACGATTCTGTTTAATTTAGGACATTTCATCAGATTCAGTTTCCAGAACCAAAGAGAACATCCTGATTGGGTCAGAACTTCTATGAAAACATAGACATAGAAAAGGAACATAGAAGCTGTGATCTATAAACACTTTCTATGTTAGCAAAGCTAGCTAAGCTAGCTCCACCGGTGGATCTGACTGGGAAAGAAAGATCCAGTTTTCATTTCAGAAAGACAGAAAATCCACTTAGTCTCAGTAGAAGCTGAGCCCAGATCTACAGCAGAGAAACAAGACCAAACACTGAAAAAGCTCCAACATCTAGAATCTCTAATCTATCAGCTGATATTTCTCTCCAGGATGGAGTCACAGCCAATCAGGGAGAGACCAGATGAAGCTACTGAGGAGAACCTTCTGATAAGTTCTCAATAATCTGACCAAACTGATCCTGACTGGGAGGTTCTAACCCCCGGTTGCTATGGCGATAATTACAATGTGATGGAATGTCCGGAGGGTCAGAGTTCAGCCAACCAGGACGGGTTTGCTTCTGCATCCAGAAGGTTCTTTAACAGGATACTCTGATAGTCAACGGCACCGAAAAATGGGTCGGCCATCTTTGTTCTTCCTGTTCAAAGGGAGTTTTTCCTCTCCACTGTCGCTACAAGCATGCTTAGTGTGAGGGATTGCTGAAGAGTCAATGAGTCGATGCAATCAGCTGGTTTTCCTTAGATAGAAAACTTTAAATCAATCTGACTGGATGATCTGGTTGAACTGGATCTATAAAGTGACCCTATACCCTGGTTTCAGATCTCTGGACCTCAGTTCCAGGAAACAGAACCAGCTGGTTAAACTGGTTCTGTTTTGTTTGGTGGTAATATTCTTAAATCCTAATTTGAATTTTCTGCTTCACTAATCTGGAATAAACTGCCTGAACTAGATTAAATCCAGACTAGAACCGTTCAGACCCGTCTTTGTCCTGACCCGGCTATTTTTTTGACCCTTTGATCTTTTTAATAATCTTCTTGTTTCAATGATTCGCTTTGATCTTGCCGCCCATTAATGTCTCCGACCCCTGAAAGGTTCTGTAGAACCGACCCGTTCCGGGTCCACTGCAGCCAGCAGGAGGCTTTGGGCTGAACTTCAACATAAAAGTTTTATTGCTGCAGTTAAAGGAGCTGCTGGATCAAAAGGACAGAAGAAGACCCCCAGGGGGGCAGAGGGCAAAGGTCACAGAGGAGGTCTCTGTGACGTCAGCCCACCCAGGTCCGGATGCTCAGAACAGAACCTGCTCTGGATTCAGTCCATGAATCAAGCATCAGACAGACTGAGACCCATGTTACCTGAACGCAGCACCAGACTCCATTCAGAAATCCGCCTTTTTTAGCCGTTCTGCATCTTCTAAGCGCTTCACCTTCATCCAGAACATGTTTCTAACCCGGAGAACATTAAACCCATCACCAGCTTCGGTTCTGCTCAGAAACTCTGAGCCCAGACCCACGCACCGTCCTGCAGGACCGGCTTGTGGGTCAGAACCCTCCAGGTGTTCTGATCCGCTCCACCTGCAGCAGTTAAAAAGCTAGAAACGGCGCAGACTTACAGGTTCGGTTCGGTCCAGTGCGGTTCTCCCAGCATGCAGAGCCTGCAGGTCCTGCACACGGATGGAGGAGGAGGAGCTTCCGGTGGGGGGGGCGGGGCTTCAGGATGGTTCAGTGAAGCCGCTCCTTCGACATCAGATCCTTTCCTGGATGATTGGTTCATTCCTGAGATCAAAGAGCCGCTGGTTCAGCGCTGCTTTGATCTCACAGATATTTAATGTTCCTGCGACCAAAACATAAATGTTAGGGCTGCTAAATGGGTAGCACTGCTGCCTTGCAGCAGAAGGTTTGGGGTTCAATTCCCGGCCCGGGTCTTTCTGCATGTTCTCCCTGAGCATGCGTGGGTTCTCTCTGGGTACTCCTGCTTCCTCCCACAGTCTAAAAACATGACTGTTAGGTTTACTGGCTTCTCTAAATCCTCCTTACCCCCCCTCCTGTATAAAATATGAAATGATTTATAGACGTCATAATGACTCTGCATGTGATGAGCCGATTTATTTTATTCTAAGTTAAAGTTAATCTACTGATGCTAATAAACAGCCAGTCTGTGTCAAACTGATGAATTTATCTTTATTTTAAAAGTCTTAAGTCCCTGAAAATGAGAACATGGTTGTTCGATGCTGCAGCGCAGATTGTTTACTTTGCAACTGGTCTAACTAGGGAGTACCAATATGGTGGCTGATGGCTTCACTATAACCCAGTATTACCACCAGGCGACCAGCAATCCAGCGAATAGAGATGAGTGTTGATGAAGCTCTGCTGGTGGGACCAGATGTTCTGAACATGGAGAACCGTCCCCCGCCGGGACAATGAAGAGGACATTGAGGACACAGAGAGGAGGTAGACATTTTATTGGTAGATTCAATCAGCAGAAGCAGGTAGACGTCCCTATCACACCCAGTAACAGCATCAAGGCTTTTATTTTGTTAGGAAAACTTCAAGGCTTTTATTTTGTTAGGAAAACTTCGAGGCTTTTATTTTGTTAGGAAAACTTCAAGTCTTTTATTGAGTCAAACCGCTTCGAAGGCTTTTATTGGCTGAGACAGTTAATAGACGATGACATCACCAGGCTCCATCCTCACAGGGTGGCGAAATGATTCAGAGCTTCTCTCAGCTTGTCTGTAATCTGTCCAATCAGAGAGCACACAGGAAGTGATGTCACAGGTCAGCCGGCTCCCTGCCCCTCCCATCACCGTACCTGTTGGTAGAAGGTCACCTGTTGCTCCAGGTAGAACTTCAGCACTCGGTTGTAGTCGTAGATCCGGTTGCTATGGAAATGGTTCATCTCAGCTGGAGGAGACAGGAAGTGAGGCGTTAGAGTGCGAGCGCGCTCAGTGTGATAGCGGCGTGCGCTCCAGTTACCCTGCAGAGAGTAGCTCATGCAGCTGAGCCGCTGGTTCATCAGCTTCCTGTCGCCGCTGCTGATCCTTCCTGCAGAAACCAGGCGGTCCGCCTCCTTCACCTTCTCTGCTGCAGCCTGCACACAGAGCACGCTCAGGCTCCGCCCACTGCTCTGCACCATCTTGAATAGGTCTCTGCTAGCAGAGGAGCTAATGGCTGTAAATGTTGAAGTGCTTGAAAGGGTTTGACCATCTGTGACATCATGCTGATAAATCTGGACGCCTGTCTGTCCTCCTGACCTCCATCTTCCCCCGCAGGTATCCGAGCACCTGAGCTGTCACTCATCATTTGATCCAGTTGATCATAATATTCTTTTAGAAAGACTTGAATATTTTGTTGGAATTAAAGGAACAGCACTAGACTGGTTTAAATCTGATCTATCTGATCGAATTCAGTTTGTTCATGTTAATGATAGATCTTCAACATGCTCAAAGGTTACCTGTGGAGTACCACAGGGATCAGTGCTAGGACCAATTCTCTTTACTTTATACATGCTCCCAATCGGTAGAGTTATTAGACAGCATGGGATTAATTTCCACTGTTACGCTGATGATACCCAGCTATATCTGTCTATCATCCAGATGAAGCTAACCCATTACATAGATTACAGGCATGTCTGAACAACTTTTTCCAGAATCTTACTGATTGCTGTTTTTCAACAATAGTTTAATCATTTCGTTTTTTAAACCTGGAGGAAAACATCCAACATGAGGGATGAGTTTAGGATTAAAATCAACTCTAAACCTGAAATTAAAACATTAAAACGGCAGGAAGAGGAGCTGAACAGTTTCTAATAAACTTTTATTGGACATTTTCCTGTAAACACGTCTGCTGCAGAGGATCAAACAGCATCTGAGTCATTCATCATCTACATCATCATCATCATCACTTCTCTGCTGTTTATCATCGGCTGAAAACTGCAGGAGACCCATCCAAGATGGCGGCTGTGTTGACACGTCAGGTCCAACTTTAGACTGAATAACCTGAACGCTGCAGGAGGAAAACCTCAGGATGAAAGATCTATAGAACAAAAAGCATAGATCTATATGTAGAAATACAATCTGTAGATTAGGACTGATCAGCTCCAGCCTTCAGGGCCTTAAAGATAACGAACTGTAGCCCCACAGACACCCTGTGTTCACAGCTACAGTGTAATACTACAGTAGTACCTTACAGTACGACAGTAGTAGTAGTCAGTAGTAGTACGACAGCAGTATTAGTAGTAGTATGAGAGAAGTACCTTGTGTACAGTGAGTATCTCCGGGAAACATCCCAACAGGCCTTTATACTCGCTGTTGGTCTCCAGCAGGAAGTGAAGATCCTTCTGAGGCTGAAAACATTGAATCGCTTTAGAGGCTGTGTGTGTTTCTGTGTTTTTCTGACAGTGTGAGGACCATTTCCATTGAATCATAGCACATTGCAGGGACCCATGGGGGGTTTCAGGGTTAGATGTTAGGATAGGGACTAATGTTAGGCTATAGAAACGGGTTAGAAATGATGGAGAGTCCCCACAAGGATAGCAAAATGTGATTGTTAGTGTGGGGGGGTCTACCTGCTCTGCGACGATCTGAGCGATCTCCTCATAGGTTTTTCCAGCCACTGTCAGCGCGTTGGTCAGTGTCTCCTCTCCTGCAGCACAAACACTTCCTATGAATCAAGTTAAACGTCCAATTGTCCCTGAAGGCACCGCAGTTAACCTGTTGGTGGCCTCACCTGGATACCTGCTGGTGGCGAAAACGGTGGAGAGGTTACTGAAGGCTCGGCCGATCCGCTCGTACTCTTTAGGCAGAGCTGCATCACACAGACCAGAGGGAGGCGGGTGAGGAACCGATGGAGAACCAGGGTTCCACACCTGCTTCACCTTCAAAGATGATCTAGAACCGTTAGTGTGGAAGAATGGAGCTCCTGCTCCACCTTAAATGGCACCTTAAGTTCACACGGTCAGAATAAGCAGCCAATCAGACTAAAGCAGGGGGTCAGGGTGCAGCGGATGGAGGTCAAGGTGTATTAGCAGGTGGAGGTGATGGTGCAGTGGGTGGAGGTGATGGTGCAGCAGGTGGAGGTCAGGGTGCAGCAGGTGGAGGTCAAGGTGTATTAGCAGGTGGAGGTCAGGGTGCAGCAGGTGGAGGTCAGGGTGCAGCAGGTGGAGGTGATGGTGCAGCAGATGGAGGTCAAGGTGTATTAGCAGGTGGAGGTCAGGGTGCAGCAGGTGGAGGTGATGGTGTAGCAGGTGGAGGTCAGGGTGCAGCAGGTGGAGGTGATGGTGTAGCAGGTGGAGGTCAAGGTGTATTAGCAGGTGGAGGTCAGGGTGCAGCAGGTGGAGGTCAGGGTGCAGCAGGTGGAGGTGGTGGTGTAGCAGGTGGAGGTCAGGGTGCAGCAGGTGGAGGTGATGGTGTAGCAGGTGGAGGTCAGGGTGCAGCAGGTGGAGGTGATGGTGTAGCAGGTGGATGTGATGGTGCAGCGGGTGGAGGTCAAGGTGTATTAGCAGGTGGAGGTCAGGGTGCAGCAGGTGGAGGTCAGGGTGCAGCAGGTGGAGGTGGTGGTGTAGCAGGTGGAGGTCAGGGTGCAGCAGGTGGAGGTCAGGGTGCAGCAGGTGGAGGTGGTGGTGTAGCAGGTGGAGGTGGTGGTGTAGCAGGTGGAGGTCAGGGTGCAGCAGGTGGAGGTCAGGGTGCAGCAGGTGGAGGTGGTGGTGTAGCAGGTGGAGGTGGTGGTGTAGCAGGTGGAGGTCAGGGTGCAGCAGGTGGAGGTGATGGTGTAGCAGGTGGAGGTCAGGGTGCAGCAGGTGGAGGTGATGGTGTAGCAGGTGGAGGTGATGGTGCAGCAGGTGGAGGTCAGGGTGCAGCAGGTGGATGTGATGGTGCAGCGGGTGGAGGTCAGGGTGCAGCAGGTGGAGGTGATGGTGCAGCGGGTGGATGTGATGGTGTATTAGGAGGTGGAGGTGATGGTGCAGCGGGTGGAGGTCAGGGTGCAGCAGGTGGAGGTGATGGTGTAGCAGGTGGAGGTGATGGTGCAGCAGGTGGAGGTCAGGGTGCAGCAGGTGGATGTGATGGTGCAGCGGGTGGAGGTCAGGGTGCAGCAGGTGGAGGTGATGGTGCAGTGGGTGGAGGTGATGGTGTATTAGGAGGTGGAGTTGATGGTGCAGCGGGTGGAGGTGATGGTGTATTAGGAGGTGGAGTTGATGGTGCAGCGGGTGGAGTTGATGGTGCAGCGGGTGGAGGTGATGGTGCAGCGGGTGGATGTGATGGTGCAGCGGGTGGAGGTGATGGTGTATTAGGAGGTGGAGGTGATGGTGCAGCGGGTGGAGTTGATGGTGCAGCGGGTGGAGGTGATGGTGCAGTGGGTGGAGGTGATGGTGCAGCGGGTGGAGCTGATGGTGCAGCGGGTGGAGGTGATGGTGCAGCGGGTGGATGTGATGGTGCAGCGGGTGGATGTGATGGTGCAGCGGGTGGAGGTGATGGTGTATTAGGAGGTGGAGGTGATGGTGCAGTGGGTGGAGGTGATGGTGCAGCGGGTGGAGCTGATGGTGCAGCGGGTGGAGGAGATGGTGCAGCGGGTGGAGGTGATGGTGTATTAGGAGGTGGAGGTGATGGTGCAGCGGGTGGAGGTGATGGTGCAGCGGGTGGAGGTCAGGGTGCAGCGGGTGGAGGTGATGGTGTATTAGGAGGTGGAGGTGATGGTGCAGCGGGTGGAGGTGATGGTGCAGCGGGTGGAGGTGATGGTGCAGTGGGTGGAGGTGATGGTGCAGCGGGTGGAGGTGATGGTGCAGCGGGTGGAGGTCAGGGTGCAGCAGGTGGAGGTGATGGTGCAGTGGGTGGAGGTGATGGTGCAGCAGGTGGAGGTGATGGTGCAGTGGATGTAGGTGATGGTGCAGTGGGTGGAGGTGATGGTGCAGTGGGTGGAGGTGATGGTGCAGCAGGTGGAGGTGATGGTGCAGTGGGTGGAGGTGATGGTGCAGCAGGTGGAGGTGATGGTGCAGTGGGTGGAGGTGATGGTGCAGCAGGTGGAGGTGATGGTGCAGTGGATGTAGGTGATGGTGCAGTGGGTGGAGGTGATGGTGCAGTGGGTGGAGGTGATGGTGCAGCAGGTGGAGGTGATGGTGCAGTGGGTGGAGGTGATGGTGCAGCAGGTGGAGGTGATGGTGCAGTGGATGTAGGTGATGGTGCAGCGGGTGGAGGTGATGGTGTATTAGGAGGTGGAGGTGATGGTGCAGCGGGTGGAGTTGATGGTGCAGCGGGTGGAGGTGATGGTGCAGCAGGTGGAGCTGATGGTGCAGCGGGTGGAGGTGATGGTGTATTAGGAGGTGGAGGTGATGGTGCAGCGGGTGGAGTTGATGGTGCAGCGGGTGGAGGTGATGGTGCAGTGGGTGGAGTTGATGGTGCAGTGGGTGGAGGTGATGGTGCAGCAGGTGGAGCTGATGGTGCAGCGGGTGGAGGTGATGGTGTATTAGGAGGTGGAGGTGATGGTGCAGCGGGTGGAGTTGATGGTGCAGCGGGTGGAGGTGATGGTGCAGTGGGTGTAGGTGATGGTGCAGCGGGTGGAGCTGATGGTGCAGCGGGTGGAGCTGATGGTGCAGCGGGTGGAGGTGATGGTGCAGCGGGTGGAGGTGATGGTGCAGCACTTATACTCACGTCCAGTGCAGCGCTTCCAGTGTGTCTGTCCAACGTTCAGCAGATCTCTGACTCCATCTTCCATGGATCGGGTGAAGCGGCTGTAGAGCTCACACGTCTGTTCCCTAGCAACAAAACCAGAGGTGAACACCTGTAGAAGACGTAGACACGGCGATGGCAGAGTGGACAGGTGACCTACACCTGAGCAGCATCCAGCTCTGCAGCCTCTGGTTGGACCAGACTGAACATGATGGGACCCACAGCCTCGTCTTTCTCCGCTCTCCTCTTCCCAGACTTCCAGTCCTGAAAAATCCAAAGCTCATCAGAACAAAGACGTCATAGCAGACCCCACCTCCAGGGGGCAGCACCACCCACCCGCTCATCCTTATATGTCAGGAAGAGCTGGAAGACCTCGCTCTGAGAGACCACCGGGTGGCGACACATGCGGGTCATCCAGGCCTGCAGGCGCTCCATCCTGATCCGGATGAAGTCCTCGTCAAACCTGCCTGAGAAACCAGCAGAAACCTGACAGTCAGAGGGGGGGGTGGGGGCACAGCTAAAGCAGGTAGCCATGGCGACAGCTCACCTGTCACCTGTTTGTCAGGCAGAGAGGGGATTGGCAGCAGGGAGCCGAACTTCTCCAGCAGACGCTCATACAGCCAATCAAAATGCTTGTAGCGGTGATTGACAGGTCTGTTGGTGGTCTGAGGGAGGAGGTCACTGCTGTGAGAACTACTACTAAAAAATACTACAACAATACTACAACACAGTAGTACACACAGTCAGCGAATACTACACATTAGCAAACAGGACTACATGCTCCTGCACACCTCTACTGGATAAATAACAACACAGATAGTACTGAAAATCACAGACTACTACAGACTACTACAGACTACTACAGACTACTATAGACTACTACAGACTACTATAGACTACTACAGACTACTACAGACTACTATAGACTACTACAGACTACTACAGACTACTACAGACTACTACAGACTACTATGGCAGGATGGACCAAATACTCAGGACAGCAGCAGTACTATCATTCTATACTACTAATTCAGAGTACTACAGTGTACTGAGCTTCACTGCAGGAGGAATCCATCTTATTCTGCTGCCACTCAAATCGAGTCCGGCTCAGCCAATCATGTTGCAGTGTTATGGTTTAGGGCGGGAAATAACGCTGTGATGAAAGCAGGAGCTGCCGACCCCGAAGTAAAACCACAACAAACATGGCGGCACAGGAGAACGTAGTGTAGCTGCTGCTAACAGAATCTACAGCCCCGGCCACTGCAGACGGGCTAATGTTAGCCCCGGCAGCTGCAGACGGGCTAATGTTAGCCCCGGCCACTGCAGATGGGCTAATGTTAGCCCCGGCCACTGCAGACGGGCTAATGTTAGCCCCGGCCACTGCAGATGGACTAATGTTAGCCCCGGCCACTGCAGACGGACTAATGTTAGCCCCGGCCACTGCAGACGGACTAATGTTAGCCCCGGCCACTGCAGACGGACTAATGTTAGCCCCGGCCACTGCAGACGGACTAATGTTAGCCCCGGCCACTGCAGACGGACTAATGTTAGCCCCGGCCACTGCAGATGGGCTAATGTTAGCCCCGGCCACTGCAGATGGGCTAATGTTAGCCCCGGCCACTGCAGATGGGCTAATGTTAGCCCCGGCCACTGCAGATGGACTAATGTTAGCCCTGGCCACTGCAGATGGACTAATGTTAGCCCCGGCCACTGCAGATGGACTAATGTTAGCCCCGGCCACTGCAGACGGACTAATGTTAGCCCCGGCCACTGCAGATGGGCTAATGTTAGCCCCGGCCACTGCAGATGGGCTAATGTTAGCCCCGGCCACTGCAGATGGGCTAATGTTAGCCCCGGCCACTGCAGATGGACTAATGTTAGCCCCGGCCACTGCAGACGGGCTAATGTTAGCCCCGGCCACTGCAGACGGGCTAATGTTAGCCCCGGCCACTGCAGACGGGCTAATGTTAGCCCCGGCCACTGCAGACGGGCTAATGTTAGCCCCGGCCACTGCAGATGGGCTAATGTTAGCCCCGGCCACTGCAGATGGACTAATGTTAGCCCCGGCCACTGCAGACGGGCTAATGTTAGCCCCGGCCACTGCAGACGGGCTAATGTTAGCCCCGGCCACTGCAGACGGGCTAATGTTAGCCCCGGCCACTGCAGATGGGCTAATGTTAGCCCCGGCCACTGCAGACGGGCTAATGTTAGCCCCGGCCACTGCAGACGGGCTAATGTTAGCCCCGGCCACTGCAGATGGACTAATGTTAGCCCCGGCCACTGCAGACGGGCTAATGTTAGCCCCGGCCACTGCAGACGGGCTAATGTTAGCCCCGGCCACTGCAGATGGACTAATGTTAGCCCCGGCCACTGCAGACGTGCTAATGTTAGCCCCGGCCACTGCAGACGAGCTAATGTTAGCCCCGGCCACTGCAGACAGGCTAATGTTAGCCCCGGCCACTGCAGACGGGCTAATGTTAGCCCCGGCCACTGCAGACGAGCTAATGTTAGCCCCGGCCACTGCAGACGGGCTAATGTTAGCCCCGGCCACTGCAGACGGGCTAATGTTAGCCCCGGCCACTGCAGACGGGCTAATGTTAGCCCCGGCCACTGCAGACGAGCTAATGTTAGCCCCGGCCACTGCAGACAGGCTAATGTTAGCCCCGGCCACTGCAGACGGACTAATGTTAGCCCCGGCCACTGCAGACGGGCTAATGTTAGCCCCAGCCACTGCAGACGGGCTAATGTTAGCCCCGGCCACTGCAGACGGGCTAACTTTAGCCCCAGCCGTAGCAGACGAGCTAACGTTAGCCCCAGCCACTGCAGACGGCCGAACGTTAGCCCGTCTGCGGCGGCCGGGGCTAACATTCGCCCCAGCCGATGCAGAGGAGCTAACATTAGCCCAGCCGATGCAGACGGCCTAAGGTTAGCTCTAGGGGTCGCTTTGTCCAATTAGCTCAGAGGGTTCTTCCAAACCTCCCTCCAATCCTCAGACAGATTGGGTGGGAGCAGGTCCAGAGTTCCCGAGGACCAGAGTTCCACATCTGATGGCTGTCAGGTTAGCGCGAAGCAGAGATGGTGGGCTCACATTGGGAGTGATCTGGTACTCGATGAAGCTCTTCAGACCATAGAGTTTGGACTCCTTCTTGGGATCAGCGATGACGCAGTCCAAAGGAGACGTAGGATAGAGCCAGACCGGTCCCACCTCTCCCATCTAAAAAAAACAGCCAATCAGAATGGAGAACACAGGGTTCCCTGAGCATGACCAATCAGGAACGATGGCTCACATAAACAGGAAGGATGTCTCTGCTGTTAGCTGGTGGACTGGCCAATAGGAAGACTTCTGGATTTGGACCTTTGGAGAATGGGAACCTGTGGACATAGCAGCACACTGGGTTCTACTGGAAACTATACTGGATTCTACTGGGAACTATACATAATACAATTGGGAATTATACTGGATTCTACTGTGAACTATACGTAATACAATTGGGAATTATACTGGATTCTACTGGGAAAAATACTGGGTTCTACTGGGAACTATACTGGGTTCTGCTGGGAACTATACTGGGTTCTGTAGGGAACTATACTGGGTTCTGCTGGGAACTATACTGGGTTCGGCTGGGAACTATACTGGGTTCTGCTGGGAACTATACTGGGTTCTGCTGGAAACTATGCTGGGTTCTGCTGGGAACTATACTGGGTTCTGCTGGAAACTATATTGGGTTCTGTAGGGAACCATACTGGGTTCTGCTGGGACCCATACTGGGTTCTGCTGGGACCCATACTGGGTTCTGCTGGGAACTATACTGGGTTCTGCTGGGAACTATACTGGGTTCTGCTGGGAACTATACTGGGTTCTGCTGGGAACTATACTGGGTTCTGCTGGAAACTATGCTGGGTTCTGCTGGGAACTATACTGGGTTCTGCTGGAAACTATATTGGGTTCTGTAGGGAACCATACTGGGTTCTGCTGGGACCCATACTGGGTTCTGCTGGGACCCATACTGGGTTCTGCTGGGAACTATACTGGGTTCGGCTGGGAACTATACTGGGTTCTGCTGGGAACTATACTGGGTTCTGCTGGGATCTATACTGGGTTCTGCTGGAAACTATACTGGGTTCTGCTGGGAACTATACTGGGTTCTGCTGGGAACTATACTGGGTTCTGCTGGGAACTATACTGGGTTCTGTAGGGAACCATACTGGGTTCTGCTGGGAACTATACTGGTACAGGAAGTGCAGCAGTAATTTTCGTGTTTTGGAGAAGCAGTTACTTGTTAAGAGCGATCTTGACGGAGTGTCCCTGGGTACTCCGTCCTGCAGTCCCTGTCTCCTCATCTGTGTGACCGTTTCCATGGTAACTGGTAACTGACTGGTCATCCCAGTCATCATCCCACTCACCATCATCTTCCTCGCCACCTTTTGAAGAGCAGTTTTTATTTCCTAACAGTTATGTAGCCAACATTAACTATGTAGCTAAAGTACTCGGGGTCTTTTACCTGGAGGGGACTGGTTCTGGGCTTGGCTGCCCCATCCCTCACTGCTCCTGGCATAAGCCCCGCCCCCAGACAAGGTATGGCTGCCTCCTCCAACAATCTGGGACATGATCAGTGTAAGTGAAATGATCTGAGGTGCCCTAACCATGATGATGATGGTGAGGAGGAGGAGCTCCTTCCTCACCTGTAAGTAGCCCTCAGGTACCAGTCCGGTCCGTCCGCTCGAGTTCTGAGCTGCAATCCAGCCTCCTCCCACAGCCTGCGCAACAGAAACCACTTAGTTCTGAGTCAGTACTCAGAGTATTCCTGCCAGTAATCAGAGTATTCCTGTCAGTACTCAGAGTATTCCTGCCAGTAATCAGAGTATCAATGGAAGTAATCAGAGTATTCCTGCCAGTAATCAGAGTATTCCTGTCAGTACTCAGAGTATTCCTGCCAGTAATCAGAGTATCAATGGAAGTAATCAGAGTATTCCTGCCAGTAATCAGAGTATTCCTGTCAGTACTCAGAGTATTCCTGCCAGTAATCAGAGTATCCATGGAAGTAATCAGATTACCTGGTCGATAACAGTCACCGTCTCTCCCTCTCTGACAGACAGCTCATTGTTCCCCGGTTCTGCTGTGAAGTCGTACAGAACCAGCGCCTGAAACAGAACAAAGACCAGAACCAGAAACAGAATAAAAACCAGAACCTGAAACAGAACTAAAGACCAGAACCAGAACAGAGACCAGAACCAGAAACAGAACTAAAGACCAGAACCAGAAACAGAACAGAGACCAGAACCTGAAACACAAATAAAGACCAGAACCAGAAACAGAACTAAAGACCAGAACCAGCCTAAAATGACCAGAATGGTTCTGCCTGTTTCATGTAAACAAGGTTTTGTTGTGGTTCTGCAGAGACCCGCTGTAGCCTGACATTTCAGCCAACAGGTGTTTGATTTTCACACCTTTATGCTCAGGGTGGGTGGGATCTAAAAACAGCCGAAACCCTCGGTTTGGTTCCTGTTCTTGGACCTACAGACTCAGAACCATAGAGAAGTTCTGGTTCTGGTCAGGGTCCAGTTCTAGCTCTAACCCCTGGGACTTGCTCCTCTGTGATGATGCAGGCCCAATGGGTCCCGGGGTGGTTCTGATCGGTCTGTCTGAACTGGACCTGGCTGAAGCTACTGGGAGGTTATTGAGGATGTTACTGGTAAAGCTGCTGGTGGATATACTGGGAGGTCACTGGGATGTTACTGGGATGTTAATGGAGGTTACTGGGGAGGTTACTCGGAGGTTACTGGGAGGTTACTGGGGATGTTACGGGAAGGTTACTGGGGATGTTACTGGTAAAGCTGCTGGTGGATATACTGGGAGGTCACTGGGATGTTACTGGGATGTTAATGGAGGTTACTGGGGATGTTACTGGATGGTTACTGGGAGTTTACTGAGGATGTTACTGGGAGGTTACTGGGGGTGTTACTGTGAGCTTACTTGGAGGTTACTGGGGATGTAACTGGGAGGTTACTGAGAGGTTACTGGGGATGTTACTGGGAGGTTACTGAGAGGTTACTGGGGATGTTACGGGAAGGTTACTGGGGATGTTACTGGGAGGTTACTGGGGATGTTACTGGGAGGTTACTGAGAGGTTACTGGGGATGTTACTGGGAGGTTACTGAGAGGTTACTGGGGATGTCACAGGAAGGTTACTGAGAGGTTACTGGGGATGTTACTGGAAGGTTACTGGGAGGTTACTGGGATGTTACTTGGAGGTTACTGGGGATGTTACTGGGAGGTTACTGGGGATGTTACTGGGAGGTTACTGGGGATGTTACTGGGAGGTTACTGAGAGGTTACTGGGGATGTTACTGGGAGGTTACTGAGAGGTTACTGGGGATGTCACAGGAAGGTTACTGAGAGGTTACTGGGGATGTCACAGGAAGGTTACTGGGAGGTTACTGGGATGTTACTTGGAGGTTACTGGGGATGTTACTGGGAGGTTACTGGGAGATTGCTCAGGATCTGACTGGGAGGTTACCGGTAAGGCTGCTGGTGGATATACTGGGAGGTTACTGGGATGTTACTGGTGAAGTTACTGTTGGATGTACTGGGACGTTACTGGGAGGTTACTGGTAAAGCTACTGGTAGATCTACTGGGATGTTACTGGTGAAGTTACTGTTGGATGTACTGGGACGTTACTGGGAGGTTACTGGTAAAGCTACTGGTAGATCTACTGGGATGTTACTGGTGAAGTTACTGTTGGATGTACTGGGACGTTACTGGGAGGTTACTGGTAAAGCTACTGGTAGATCTACTGGGATGTTACTGGGAGATTACTGTGGATGTTACTGGGAGGTTACTGGGAGGTTACTGGGGATGTTACTGGTGAAGCTGCTGGTGGATATACTGGGATGTCACTGGGATGTTACTGGGATGTTAATGGAGGTTACTGGGGATGTTACTGGGAGGTTACTGGGGATGTTACTGGGAGGTTACTGGGGATGTTACTGGGAGGTTACTGAGAGGTTACTGGGGATGTTACTGGGAGGTTACTGAGAGGTTACTGGGGATGTCACAGGAAGGTTACTGAGAGGTTACTGGGGATGTCACAGGAAGGTTACTGGGAGGTTACTGGGATGTTACTTGGAGGTTACTGGGGATGTTACTGGGAGGTTACTGGGAGATTGCTCAGGATCTGACTGGGAGGTTACCGGTAAGGCTGCTGGTGGATATACTGGGAGGTTACTGGGATGTTACTGGTGAAGTTACTGTTGGATGTACTGGGACGTTACTGGGAGGTTACTGGTAAAGCTACTGGTAGATCTACTGGGATGTTACTGGTGAAGTTACTGTTGGATGTACTGGGACGTTACTGGGAGGTTACTGGTAAAGCTACTGGTAGATCTACTGGGATGTTACTGGTGAAGTTACTGTTGGATGTACTGGGACGTTACTGGGAGGTTACTGGTAAAGCTACTGGTAGATCTACTGGGATGTTACTGGGAGATTACTGTGGATGTTACTGGGAGGTTACTGGGAGGTTACTGGGGATGTTACTGGTGAAGCTGCTGGTGGATATACTGGGATGTCACTGGGATGTTACTGGGATGTTAATGGAGGTTACTGGGGATGTTACAGGAAGGTTACTGGGGATGTTACTGGGAGGTTACTGGGGATGTTACTGGGAGGTTACTGAGAGGTTACTGGGGATGTTACTGGGAGGTTACTGAGAGGTTACTGGGGATGTCACAGGAAGGTTACTGAGAGGTTACTGGGGATGTCACAGGAAGGTTACTGGGAGGTTACTGGGATGTTACTTGGAGGTTACTGGGGATGTTACTGGGAGGTTACTGGGAGATTGCTCAGGATCTGACTGGGAGGTTACCGGTAAGGCTGCTGGTGGATATACTGGGAGGTTACTGGGATGTTACTGGTGAAGTTACTGTTGGATGTACTGGGACGTTACTGGGAGGTTACTGGTAAAGCTACTGGTAGATCTACTGGGATGTTACTGGTGAAGTTACTGTTGGATGTACTGGGACGTTACTGGGAGGTTACTGGTAAAGCTACTGGTAGATCTACTGGGATGTTACTGGGAGATTACTGTGGATGTTACTGGGAGGTTACTGGGAGGTTACTGGGGATGTTACTGGTGAAGCTGCTGGTGGATATACTGGGATGTCACTGGGATGTTACTGGGATGTTAATGGAGGTTACTGGGGATGTTACTGGGAGGTTATTGAGAGGTTACTGGGGATGTGATGTATGTTACCGGTATAATACAGGGAGGTTACTGGGATGTTACTGGTATAATACAGGGAGGTTACTGAGATGTTACTGGGATAATACAGGGAGGTTACTGGGATGTTGCTGGTATAATACAGGGAGGTTACTGAGATGTTACTGGGATAATACAGGTAGGTTACTGGGAGGTTACTGGTATAATACAGGGAGATTACTGGGATGTTAATGGAGGTTACTGAGATGTTACTGCTATAATACAGGGAGGTTACTGGGATGTTACTGGTATAATACAGGGAGGTTACTGAGATGTTACTGGGATAATACAGGCAGGTTACTGGTATAATACAGGGAGATTACTGGGATGTTACTGGTATAATACAGGGAGGTTACTGAGATGTTACTGGTATAATACAGGGAGGTTACTGAGATGTTACTGGGATAATACAGGCAGGTTACTGGGATGTTACTGGGATAATACAGGCAGGTTACTGGTATAATACAGGGAGATTACTGGGATGTTACTGGTATAATACAGGGAGGTTACTGAGATGTTACTGGGATAATACAGGCAGGTTACTGGGATGTTACTGGGATAATACAGGGAGGTTACTGAGATGTTACTGTTATAATACAGGGAGGTTACTGAGATGTTACTGGGATAATACAGGCAGGTTACTGGTATAATACAGGGAGATTACTGGGATGTTACTGGTATAATACAGGGAGGTTACTGAGATGTTACTGGGATAATACATGGAGATTACTGGGATGTTACTGGTATAATACAGGGAGGTTACTGAGATGTTACTGGTATAATACAGGGAGGTTACTGAGATGTTACTGGTATAATACAGGGAGGTTACTGAGATGTTACTGGGATAATACGGGTAGGTTACTGAGATGTTACTGGTATAATACAGGGAGATTACTGGGATGTTACTGGTATAATACAGGGAGATTACTGGGATGTTACTGGGATAATACAGGGAGATTACTGGGATGTTACTGGTATAATACAGGGAGATTACTGGGATGTTACTGGTATAATACAGGGAGGTTACTGAGATGTTACTGGTATAATACAGGGAGGTTACTGAGATGTTACTGGGATAATACAGGCAGGTTACTGGTATAATACAGGGAGATTACTGGGATGTTACTGGTATAATACAGGGAGGTTACTGAGATGTTACTGGTATAATACAGGGAGGTTACTGAGATGTTACTGGGATAATACAGGCAGGTTGCTGGGATGTTACTGGGATAATACAGGCAGGTTACTGGTATAATACAGGGAGATTACTGGGATGTTACTGGTATAATACAGGGAGGTTACTGAGATGTTACTGGGATAATACAGGCAGGTTACTGGGATGTTACTGGGATAATACAGGGAGGTTACTGAGATGTTACTGTTATAATACAGGGAGGTTACTGAGATGTTACTGGGATAATACAGGGAGATTACTGGGATGTTACTGGTATAATACAGGGAGATTACTGGGATGTTACTGGTATAATACAGGGAGGTTACTGAGATGTTACTGGTATAATACAGGGAGGTTACTGAGATGTTAATGGAGGTTACTGAGATGTTACTGGTATAATACAGGGAGGTTACTGAGATGTTACTGGGATAATACAGGGAGATTACTGGGATGTTACTGGTATAATACAGGGAGGTTACTGAGATGTTACTGGTATAATACAGGGAGGTTACTGAGATGTTACTGGTATAATACAGGGAGGTTACTGAGATGTTACTGGGATAATACGGGTAGGTTACTGAGATGTTACTGGTATAATACAGGGAGATTACTGGGATGTTACTGGTATAATACAGGGAGGTTACTGAGATGTTACTGGTATAATACAGGGAGGTTACTGAGATGTTACTGGGATAATACAGGCAGGTTACTGGTATAATACAGGGAGATTACTGGGATGTTACTGGTATAATACAGGGAGGTTACTGAGATGTTACTGGTATAATACAGGGAGGTTACTGAGATGTTACTGGGATAATACAGGCAGGTTACTGGGATGTTACTGGGATAATACAGGCAGGTTACTGGTATAATACAGGGAGATTACTGGGATGTTACTGGTATAATACAGGGAGGTTACTGAGATGTTACTGGGATAATACAGGCAGGTTACTGGGATGTTACTGGGATAATACAGGGAGGTTACTGAGATGTTACTGTTATAATACAGGGAGGTTACTGAGATGTTACTGGGATAATACAGGGAGATTACTGGGATGTTACTGGTATAATACAGGGAGATTACTGGGATGTTACTGGTATAATACAGGGAGATTACTGAGATGTTACTGGTATAATACAGGGAGGTTACTGAGATGTTAATGGAGGTTACTGAGATGTTACTGGTATAATACAGGGAGGTTACTGAGATGTTACTGGGATAATACAGGGAGATTACTGGGATGTTACTGGTATAATACAGGGAGGTTACTGAGATGTTACTGGTATAATACAGGGAGGTTACTGAGATGTTACTGGTATAATACAGGGAGGTTACTGAGATGTTACTGGGATAATACGGGTAGGTTACTGAGATGTTACTGGTATAATACAGGGAGATTACTGGGATGTTACTGGTATAATACAGGGAGATTACTGGGATGTTACTGGGATAATACAGGGAGATTACTGGGATGTTACTGGTATAATACAGGGAGATTACTGGGATGTTACTGGTATAATACAGGGAGGTTACTGAGATGTTACTGGTATAATACAGGGAGGTTACTGAGATGTTAATGGAGGTTACTGAGATGTTACTGGTATAATACAGGGAGGTTACTGAGATGTTACTGGTATAATACAGGGAGGTTACTGAGATGTTACTGGGATAATACAGGCAGGTTACTGGTATAATACAGGGAGATTACTGGGATGTTACTGGTATAATACAGGGAGGTTACTGAGATGTTACTGGTATAATACAGGGAGGTTACTGAGATGTTACTGGTATAATACAGGGAGGTTACTGAGATGTTACTGGGATACTACAGGAAGGTTACTGGTATAATACAGGGAGATTACTGGGAGGTTACTGGTATAATACAGGGAGATTACTGGGATGTTACTGTTATAATACAGGGAGGTTACCGAGACGTTACTGGTATAATACAGGGAGGTTACCGAGACGTTACTGGTATAATACAGGGAGGTAACTGAGATGTTACTGGGATAATACAGGCAGGTTACTGGTATAATACAGGGAGATTACTGGGATGTTACTGGGATAATACAGGGAGGTTATTGGGATGTTACTGGTCATGACAAACTGGTTGAACCTGCATTTTGCTTCAGTTTCTCTAAGGTGGTTGCCATGGTGATGGGAAGCTCTGACCCAGATAAACTGGACCCAGAACCTAGACAGTGGCTTTCAGTCCTCCACTGTCTGGGTTCTGGTTCTGGACGGATCTCCAGTCAGCGGGTTTTATTTCCGTGATCCGCTCACCTGGACGGCCCGCCCACCCCGCCGCCTTGCCTTTGATCTCTACAGGTGGTTCAGGTGCTCTGGGCTCCACCGGAACTTTGGGTAGAACCGGACCTGAGCGCGAGCTGTTTTCTGTTGTTTCCCCTGACGCTCTATGAGGCTGCGGTACCGCCTGGTTCGGTTCCGGGTCCAGATCCAACCCCTACCCCCACCCCCTCTGAGCTCTTACCTTCACAGCCATGCTGACGTCATGCAGTGGTTCCGATCGGCGCGCGGTTCTGGTCACATCTCCATCCTGTCGGCTTCAGCCTCAAGCTGCATGGAGCGCAGGCCGAGCTTCCGGTTGGTCCTTCAGGGTAAAAGCCGACTGAGGAGGTGGACAGTTCGGTCCCGGTTCTGTGGGTCTTGCAGCGTTAGCTTCACGTTTGGAGCCGCTCCATGAACCACAGGAAGAACCTCAGAAGGTCCATCGGACCGGAACCCCAGTTTAACCTGAACACTGGGAGGGATCCACGATTTAATCTGAAAGTCCGCTTGATGACATCATAGGTTTGGAAGAAAGGGGCGGAGCTCAGCGCTGTTCCTATCTGGATGGGTTTGGTTCCATTAGAGCAGACAGCTCTCTCCTATAGGCGCTGACGCGAGTTGGTGGCGCCATCTTGGGGAGGTCTAAAGCTCCACTCAGTCTGATGTGTTCAGCAGGAACAGAATATATTTGAATAAACTTTAACTTTCTGAATATTGAACAACTTTTCGTTTACGTATATATATATATATATACGTTTATATATATATATATATATATAAATACACATTCATATATATATAAATCTGTATTGATTATCTATTCTTTGGATGCACAGTATTTATATTTGTACTGCACAGTACTGTATTTTTGTTTATTTTTATATTTTTTATTTATATTTAATGTGAATGTTATTTTTATCCATGTTTTAGCTGTTTTTTATTGATACTGTTTTATGTTTAATTATTTATTTACAGCTCTTTCGCCTAAAGGAACCAGCCTCTGCCTGCAGGAGGCGCCGCAGCCTGGACCAGCCTCTGCCTGCAGGGGGCGCTACAGCCTGAACCAGCCTCTGCCTGCAGGGGGCGCCACAGCCTGGACCAGCCTCTGCCTGCAGGAGGCGCCGCAGCCTGGAGCAGCCTCTGCCTGCAGGGGGCGCTACAGCCTGAACCAGCCTCTGCCTGCAGGAGGCGCCACAGCCTGAACCAGCCTCCGCCTGCAGGGGGCGCTACAGCCTGAACCAGCCTCCGCCTGCAGGAGGCGCCGCAGCCTGAACCAGCCTCCGCCTGCAGGAGGCGCCGCAGCCTGAACCAGCCTCAGCCTGCAGGAGGCGCCGCAGCCTGAACCAGCCTCCACCTGCAGCCTGGACCAGCCTCAGCCTGCAGGAGGCGCCGCAGCCTGAACCAGCCTCCACCTGCAGCCTGGACCAGCCTCAGCCTGCAGGAGGCGCCGCAGCCTGAACCAGCCTCCACCTGCAGCCTGGACCAGCCTCAGCCTGCAGGAGGCGCCGCAGCCTGAACCAGCCTCCACCTGCAGCCTGGACCAGCCTCAGCCTGCAGGAGGCGCCGCAGCCTGGACCAGCCTCAGCCTGCAGGAGGCGCCGCAGCCTGAACCAGCCTCCACCTGCAGCCTGGACCAGCCTCCGCCTGCAGGAGGCGCCGCAGCCTGAACCAGCCTCCACCTGCAGCCTGGACCAGCCTCCGCCTGCAGGAGGCGCCGCAGCCTGAACCAGCCTCCACCTGCAGCCTGAACCAGCCTCCACCTGCAGGAGGCGCCGAAACCTGAACCAGCCTCCACCTGCAGGAGGCGCCGAAACCTGAACCAGCCTCCACCTGCAGGAGGCGCCGCAACCTGAACCAGCCTCTGCCTGCAGGAGGCGCTACAGCCTGAACCAGCCTCTGCCTGCAGGAGGCGCCGCAGCCTGGAGCAGCCTCCGCCTGCAGGGGGCGCCACAGCCTGAACCAGCCTCTGCCTGCAGGGGGCGCCGCAGCCTGGAGCAGCCTCCGCCTGCAGGAGGCGCCGCAGCCTGGAGCAGCCTCCGCCTGCAGGAGGCGCCGCAGCCTGGACCAGCCTCAGCCTGCAGGAGGCGCCGCAGCCTGAACCAGCCTCCACCTGCAGCCTGGACCAGCCTCAGCCTGCAGGAGGCGCCGCAGCCTGAACCAGCCTCCACCTGCAGCCTGGACCAGCCTCAGCCTGCAGGAGGCGCCGCAGCCTGAACCAGCCTCCACCTGCAGCCTGGACCAGCCTCAGCCTGCAGGAGGCGCCGCAACCTGAACCAGCCTCCACCTGCAGGAGGCGCCGCAGCCTGGACCAGCCTCCGCCTGCAGGAGGCGCCGCAGCCTGAACCAGCCTCCACCTGCAGCCTGGACCAGCCTCAGCCTGCAGGAGGCGCCGCAGCCTGAGCCAGCCTCCACCTGCAGGAGGCGCCGCAACCTGAACCAGCCTCCACCTGCAGGAGGCGCCGAAACCTGAACCAGCCTCTGCCTGCAGGAGGCGCTACAGCCTGAACCAGCCTCTGCCTGCAGGAGGCGCCGCAACCTGAACCAGCCTCCACCTGCAGGAGGCGCCGCAACCTGAACCAGCCTCCACCTGCAGGAGGCGCCGCAACCTGAACCAGCCTCCACCTGCAGGAGGCGCCGCAGCCTGGACCAGCCTCCGCCTGCAGGAGGCGCCGCAGCCTGAACCAGCCTCCACCTGCAGCCTGGACCAGCCTCCGCCTGCAGGAGGCGCCGCAACCTGAACCAGCCTCCACCTGCAGGAGGCGCCGCAACCTGAACCAGCCTCCACCTGCAGGAGGCGCCGCAACCTGAACCAGCCTCCACCTGCAGCCTGGACCAGCCTCAGCCTGCAGGAGGCGCCGCAGCCTGAACCAGCCTCCACCTGCAGCCTGGACCAGCCTCTGCCTGCAGGAGGCGCCGCAGCCTGAACCAGCCTCCACCTGCAGCCTGAACCAGCCTCTGCCTGCAGGAGGCGCCGCAGCCTGAACCAGCCTCCACCTGCAGCCTGGACCAGCCTCCGCCTGCAGGAGGCGCCGCAGCCTGAACCAGCCTCCACCTGCAGCCTGGACCAGCCTCCATTTCTGCTCTTCAGGCTGTTTTATTGAAAGTTCTTTTCTTTCATCGCAGTTTTTTCTATTTCCAGATGTTTCATCCAGTGTTGTGCCTGAACGCGTTCATTGAACGAAAGTTCATGAACTCGTTCATATTTTGGGCGAACGTGAACTGAACGTACTGCATTACTGCCTGATGAACGTTATTGTGAACTCGTTCATTCTGGTGTCTGTGAACGGCACGCTTTCTCAGTTCAGCTCCGTTCAATAGGTTGCCAGATTTCTATAAAGCCCTCCAGGCGAAACCCCGGCTAAATCACACCGTAAACAGGCCTTAATATGTAGCGGGGAAAACACCCAATCTGGCAACACCAGCTACCAGCGTCGTAGCCTACAGCCGCGTGCGTCATCAAAACAAAATGCAGCGTGGAAGCCACAGCAGCATGGAGGCGACCGTGGAGGCGACAAAGCAGCAGTATGATCACTTAAAACAGTTTTATGACCAGGTGGTCGGTGAGGATGATGGCAACAAGTTTGCCCGCCGGCTTTCAGTAAAAAAATCCGCACTTCAGTAACCTTAAATTCCTACCTCAGCCTGGTCCCTCAGTTTGTGTTAGTAAAATCTTCTTGAGCGGAGGTCTTCAACAGGGGATCCGCGACCCCTAGGGGGTCTACGGAGGTACTGCATGAGGGTCTGCATGGTTAGTTGATATTTTTATATTCTCCCCCTGCAATTTTTTCCCCCACCAACTGAAATGTCTTTAAATACTCATTAACATGAAATCAACACACTGTAGTAAACAGATAAATGGAGGCAGAAGATGTCTTTCAGTCATCAATGCTCACATTCAGCGACACACAGGAGCTCTTTCAAGCTGGGCACCGTTTCCTTCACAACACCTGTCCCATCAACCAGGAATCAGAATCAGAAAAACTTTAATAATCCCAGGGAGAAATTAATTTCTTTACATTACTCCATCTGTAACAGAGTGACTATAGGACACAATTTCATACAATATATATAAATAGGGGGTCCCCGCTCCATCTCGCCATCAGTTTGGGGGTCCTTGGTCTGGAAAACATAGAAGACCCCTGTTCTTGAGGGTTTTACTATCCATGTACCTTGTTTGTTAAACCTGCCTGGTATAATTTTCCAGGATTCCTTTTTAGTATGTATTGAAATGGAATTTCAAATGGAAAAAATTATTAAAATTAAAAAAACATTTGCACCTTAAAGACTACTTTCCTGTTTTTCTTTTAATAATTCCTCATAAAAAAGACCATTCAAGCAGCACATTTTTCCTGATGTTTTTGAGAATATACTGTAGGGGTGAAAGCTGCAGCTGCTACTAGTGTGAAGTGAATGGACAGCAACAAAGCGTTAAAGCAACAATGGGGAAATGCTGTCCCCTCAATGCTAATGTAAACCCTGGTTGGATAAGGATTCAAAACTGGATATGAAGATGAAATCTGACGCACAGTTTCAGAGTTACAACTGATAGAATAATTGCTGTCTGTGGTTCTACAGTAGGCTATGGTGTAATTGAGCAATATATGAAAAAAAAAAGAAAAAAAAGAACTATGAACTAGTTCGTTTTTTGGAATTGTGAACTATGAACTGAACTAGTTCATTTTAAAATGTGTGAACTGAACTTTGAACTAGTTCACGTAGAAAGAGAACTTTCCCAACACTGGTTTCATCATGTTTCATTTTCATCACTAAATTAAAGAGAGTTTAGCTTCAGACAGAATAAAGACAAAAGGAAACATTTTCCTTTTTAAAAATATTTTATTGATCTACAGCTGGTTGCAGGTCAGTTATAGAAGCAGGACTTCTAGAAGTTTCTGGAAGGGTTAAGGTGTAAACAGTGAAGAATTTATCAGTTGGGTTAATAAAGGACGTTCATCAGCCTCCTGTCCTTCCAGCAGCGGCCTCCAGGGGGCGCTGCAGACGCTGATCACTGCTGCGCTTCGGATCCCACCATGAGCCATCAGTAAGTCTGTTACATAAGCGGCCTCCAGGGGGCGCTGCGGGGCCCTCAGTGGACGCACAGCCACATGACCAGCACTGAGGCCAGCAGGCCAATCAGAGAGCTGGCTGCAGAGGAGGGGGCGGAGTTACACAGATCACTGTTGCAGCACTTGAAGCTGAAGCTGGACACCTGCAAGGAACCACAGATCAGGATAACCGGACCAGAACCAGAACTAGACCACGGACTGGGTCACAGGTCAGGATGGAACAGAACCAGTCCAAACCAGAACCCATCTGAAACTAAACCAGGACCAGTCTAAAACTAAACAAGGTCCAGTCTAAAACTAAACAAGGTCCAGTCTGGGCCAAACCGGGACCAGTCTGGGCCAAACTAGGACCAGTCTGGGCCAAACCAGGACCAGTCTAAAACTAAACAAGGTCCAGTCTGGGCTAAACCA